GGCAGAGTTGCTCTGCCCCGGGCTTCCTGGAATCAGCCGCTGATCAGTTTCAGCAGCAGCTGACTTGGGGACGCTTGGGGTTCTTAAGTTGAATCCGTATGTAAGTCAGAACTGGCGTCCAGATTCAGCCGCTGTTGAAACTGATCAGTTTCAGCAGTGGCTGACGCCAGTTCCGACTTACATACAGATTCAACTTAAGAACAAACCTACAGTCCCTATCTTGTACGTAACCCGGGGACTGCCTGTAATTGAAAGAATGGCAAAACTCCTCTTAACTTGACTTGGGCCAGGATTTCATCCATGCAATTTTACCAGTGCTATTACTTTGTTTTTGTGCATGTGCACAGAAGGCATTTCCTCCTTCTGAATAGAAAATTTCTTCCTCATGGCCCTTAATAACTTGCCTGGCCATGAAGAGCTAGATGGAACTCACTGTAGAATCCACTTTTACCACTCCATGCCACAATAAAATTAAAAAACCAACAACACTCGGTTTGTGTAGGATAGCGCAATTCATTAAGTGAAGGGCCAGGAAATATTCTCAACCACCTTCATTACAACACCAGCACTGTGGGACCCCAAGCTTCAAGGCAGTGTTAATAATAGTATTTGTATGCTAAATCCCTGTGTCCTTTCTCAATCCCTTCTTGTATCAGCTGTGATATCAGCATTTTAAAATTACAGAGAATTTCTTTAGTTTTATATTCAGCTCAACTATGGATTTTGTTTTCTTTCAAGAATCAGTGATTCTGTTAATCTTAAGGTCTCAGAGGTATCACATCTCTTTTCCCATTGGCTCACATATAGTAAGGGCCATGCTGCATTGTTTCTTAATATTGAGCTAGTGTACTGTCATATCTAGAAATGTCATGACAACTTAGAGCTGGCTCCATTCCATGCAAATGTAGATGGTACAGCAGCAAGGGGGTAGATTGTGGCATTTAGCCACCACCTCTTATAACGGGTGACACTGAGCTGAAATGCCCCGGGGGTGTCGCGAAAATCACAGGTCCGATGATGAATACCCAAGTGGGGGAAGGACAGAACCAGGTGGACAGTTTTATCAAATAAAAATTATTTATTTATGACAGAGGTGAATTTATAGTATTTAATCTAAGATTTTTAATAGACCGTGTTAATAATGAATTTACAGTATTTATTATATTTATTCTATGGCTTCTAGTAAAACGTGTCAAAGATATAGGGATGGGAATGGCAAGGGGAATAGTCTCTAATCTTAAACTATCCAGCTACAGTAATTAAATAACAGTGATAACTACAAACTCTATGTACTACCCAAAAACAACTACAACACTAAGCTTATACAACAGGAAAAAATCAAATCATACATACCAACTTACACAGCACACGGAACATTTCACAGCTATCGGTTCGATTGCGAAGGCCTTGGTTACGCCCGAGCGTCGGGGGAGGTGGCTGGTCGGTTGATCAGGCCGGCAGCGCTTGGAAGTATACGAGAAGGCACACGCACGGTGGTACATGTGTTGCGAAGACCTCCTAGAGCGAACTGTGCCATGGGTATTTATCCCCAAATCTGCACATCGCTTTCCTGCGCTTGCATATTCCCATATATGGCCCAATGGTCACCAAGTGGGAGGGTCGGTGTCCCAGGGGTTGGACCGAAACTGTCAATTTTCCTAATAAATAAAGAGATGCTGCCAGGTCAAATTTAACCCAAGATCTAATTTTAACACAACGTATTTCCAAACTTTTTTCTCCAAAGGAAATGTCAAAACACTGAAAATAGGTTAAAGGTATTTGATCAGAAAAAGAATTTTCAGATTAAGAAATAAGGATTAAGCCAAACTTTTTTTTTACTGGGGGGCAGTTTCTTTTCTCTAACAGGGGAGCTGCAGGAGACTTTGCCTGGATGAGCGCATGTGGGCTATGTCTACACTGCAGGCTTCTTGCACAAGAACTGTTTCACGCAAGAGTTCTTGCACAAAAGGTCTTGCGCAGGGGGGGCATCCACACTGCCATATGCTTTTGTGCAGGAGATGAGCTTTCATGCACAAGAAACCCCTGTTATCCATCCGCACTGCCTTCTTGCTCAAGAGGGCTTATTCCTCGTGGGGAGAGGAATAACTCTTGTGCAAGAAGCCCTCTGTTCTGACACTTAACTGTAAAATTGCTTGCGCAAGAATGCACGTGCAGTTAGACGCTCTGCAAGTTTTTACTCAAGACCAGTCGTTCTTGCGCAAGAAGCCTGCAATGTAGACGTAGCCAAGTAGTGTAGACATGGCAATGTCTTTGAATGGTGCACTGTGGTTCTTTTCTTTCTAAGGACTGCCAGCTTCTTGGATCAGTGCAGACAGAGTTCAAGACCATCTCTCCTCCCCTCTTTACCGCCTTTGGAGCAATTTGCTCTTCTGAGTTTGGAATCCTTGCATTTCCACAAGCACAAAATTGCCGTTATCCCTGGCTTTACATAGAGTGCCCAAGGTTAGAGATAAAGGCTTTCTTCCACCTCATGGACCCGTGCTTGAGCCAGGCCTAATCAGCTTTAAGTG